TTTTCTGAAGTGCCAAAGATTGTACAGGGGGCTGGGAAGGTGGCTTAGTGGTAGACTGCTTGCCTAGCATGCATGAAGCCCTGGGTTCGATTCCTCAGTACCACATAAAGAAAGCTGAAAGTGGTGTTGTGGCTGAAGTGGTAGGGTGCTAGCTTTGAGCAAAAGAAGCTTAAGGACAGTGCCCAGGCCCTGAGTTCAAGCCCCAGGACTGGCAAATAACAAAACTAAAACCAAAGAACAACAAAAAAATGTATGATTTCTAGTCCAGTGTATCCTCATAGTATTTCTCTAGTGTAATATAGCCAGATTCTTCTCTGTCTCTTTTCTGTCTTCCTCTCCATCTCCCCCCCTCTCTTTCTGTCCATCTCTCCCCTTTTCTCCTCTTTCCTCTCTGTTGTTGGGCTTGGAGTTCAGGGCATAGTCCTCTTTTTTTGGGGGGTCTGGTCGTGGGGTCTGAATTCTGGGCCTGGTTGCTGTCCCTCATCTCTTCAGCTCAAGGCTGGTGCTCTACCACTTGAGCGACAGCACTACTTCCAGTTTTTTTTTTTTTTTGCTTATATGGTGCTGAGTAATTGAATCCAGAGCTTCATGCATGCAAGGCAAGCACTCCAACACTGAGCCACCTTCCCAGCCCCATAGACCTCTTAATTAATGGGATGTCAGAGTCTTACAGACAGGCCTTGGTGGCTCAGGATTGTAATCCTAGCCACTTAGGAGCCTGAGATTTTAGCATCACAGTTCAAAGCCAGCCCAGGCATCAATATCCTGGAGACTCTTATGCCCCATAAACCATTCAGAAAACCGGAAGTGGCCCTGTGTCTTAAGAGGAAGAGTGCTCCCCTTGAGCTGAAGAGCTGAGTAATAGTGCCCAGGCCCAGAGTTCAAGCCTGAGGACAGTAAAAACAACAACAAAAAAATATCTCACACTTTTCTTCCCAAGTTGGTTTTGAATTTCAGTCCTCAGAACTGGGCCACCTGAGTAGCGAGGATTCAGGCATGAGCCGGACCTGTTTGGCTTATAGTTTTGTTTTGATTATTTGTTGGTTGGTTTAATCAAAACAAGATATCAGAATGTAGTACTAAGCCATTCTGCAAGTAATTCTCCCTACAGCATCCCTACCAGCTGAGAGTCTAGCAGTAAACTGCCACACTGAGTTTGGGTGCATTTATCATGCAAAAGCAAAAAAACAAAAACAAAACACAAACCTCAGATAAACAAGATTGCTTTTTTTCCCCCCTGAAACAAAGAGAAAACCTATCATCTGAGTGCTAGTGGCTCAACTGTAAATCTGTCTACTCAGGAGGCTGAGATGTGATTATCTCTGTTGGGCACTAGCCCATATAAGAGAAAAAGTCCTGAAGACTTTTTTTTTTGCCAGTCCTGGGCCTGGAAGTCCTGGACAGAGCACAGTCCCTAATCTTCTTTGTGCTCAAGGCTAGCACTCTACCACTTGAGCCTCAGAGCCACTTCTGCCTTCTTCTGTTATGTGGTACTGAGGAATTGAACCTATGCCTTCATGCATGCAAGGCAAGCACTCTACAACTAAGCCACATTCCCAGATGCCTGAAGCCTGTTTTTTTTTCCCCCCATGGTCCAGGGGCTTGAAGTTTGGGCCTGGCACTGTCCTTGAGCTCTTCAGCAAAAAACAAGGACTCTGTTACTTGAGCCACAGTGCCGCTTCCGGTTTTCTGGTGGTTACTTGGATATGAGAGTCTCAGGCCTTCACTGCCCAGGCTGGCTTTGAACCATGATCCTCATATGTCAGCCTCCTGAGTAGCTAGGCTTGAGCCACCAGTGCCTGGCTCCCTGAACACTATTATCTCCAATTTTAACCACCAAAAAGCCTGAAGTGCAGGTGTGGGTCAAGTGGTAGAGCAGAGTGCTAGTCTTGATCTGCAAAACTGAAGGGACAGAGTGTGAGATACTGACATCCAGCCCCAGTACACATACTCTCTCTCTCTCTTTCCCTCTCTCTGTGTCTCTCTGTGTCAATCTCTGTCTCAATCTGTCTCCTTGTCTCTCTGTCTCTGTCTGTCTGTTGTCTGTCTGTCTGTCTGTCTGTCTGTCTCTCTCTCTCTCTCTCTCTCTCACACACACACACACACACACTCACACAGAGCCAGATTATCTTTGTCAGTGACTATGGGCCTCCTAGCTAGAGGCAAAACATCTACCGCCTGTGGTGGAGAGCAGAGCAAGCATGTCTGTCTCACACACTTGGACTTGAAGGACACAGAGGAGGGAAGCACAAGCATTGCAGTGCACACAAGTCAGGACTGGGTGTTAAACTTTCATTCTCCCTCCCCTCCCCCTTTCCTCCAGGACCCTCTGGACAAGGCAGAAATCCAATCAGGAGGAAGTGGGTGGAGCTTCAGGACTGAGCAGATGCTGCTTTCTGATTGGACACTGGGAGTTGGCCAAGGGTAGGACCAGTAGACAGAGGGAATAAAGCTTCAGAGGAGCCAGGGGAGATGAGAACCCTGGTAAGTGGAGTCACTGCCTGTGCCTGCTCCCTTCAGAGAGCCCTGCTGATCTGTCCACATCTGGTAAGTCCCCACTCCATGAGGACCCCCCAACATTCCCCTCAGCCAGTGCCAGGGTTGACTGTAGGTCCAGTATGCCACATAGTATTGTGATTTGGACCTCTTCTTTTGAGCCTGTCCTGGGGATTGAACGCAGAGTCTTGCGTTGTCCCTGAGCTTCTTTTGCTCAAGGCTAGCACTCTACCACTTTGAGCTACAGCAACACTTTTGGCTTTTTCTGTGTATGTACTGAGGAATGGAAACCAGGGATGGATTCATGCATGCTATGCAAGCACTCTCACACTAAGCCACATTACCAGGCCCTGCAATTGGTTGTGTGTGTGTGTGTGTGGGTGTGTGTGTGTGCCAGCTTTGGGGCTTGAACTCAGGGCCTTGGCACTGTCTTGATATTTTTCCTCAAGGCTATCTACCTCTTGATCCACAGATCTACTTCCAGCTTTTTAGTGTTTTTGAACATAGTCACAGACTTGCCAGGCATGGGTGGCTCACAACTGAAATCCTAGCTACTCAGGAGGCTGAGATCTGCGGATTCTGGTTCAAAGGCAGCCCTGGCAGGAAAAGTCTGTGTGCCTAATATCTCCAATAAACCACTCAGAAAACCAGACATGGCGCTGTGGCTCAAGTGGTAGAGCACTAGCATTGAGCTGAAGAGGTGAAGTACAGAGCCAGGCCCAGAGTTCAAAGCCCTTCACTGTATGGGGGGAAAAAGTCTCAGACTTTGCCTCCTAGACCGGCTTTAAACTTTGTTCCACAGATCTTAGGCTCTTTAGGGGCTTTCACTATACTCCTAAGGACACAACTGCTCTTCCAGCTTTAAATAGAGTCTCAATAATTTACCTGAACACTCAGACTCCGATCCAAACATCCATGCTTTTTTTTTTTATTATAAGATGTGGGGCTTGTAGTAGAGGCCTGGATGCTGTCCCTGAGCAATTTTTGCTCAAAAGTAGCACTCTCCCAATTTGAGCCACAACACCACTTCCAGTTTTCTGGTGGTCAATTGAAGATGAGACTCTCACAGACTTTCCTGCTCAAGCTGGCTTTGAGCCTGGATCCTCAGATCTCAGCCTCCTGAGCAGCTAAGACTATAGGGCTGAGCCCCCTCACCCCCACTAATTCAGGCTTTGCAATATGGGATGACAGATAAGAACCACCATGCCAGGTGGTTGGTAACTGACGGGATAGGACTTCAGTTCTCTCAATTTCTACTCCACAGGAGCTGGGCTTTCAGGTAGGAGCCACTAGACCATGCCTCAATTTTGATAAGTTAAATATTGAGTTCAAATCAGGAATCTGTGGCTCCTGTTTGTAATCCTATCAACTTGAGGTTAGCTAAGAGTGAAGAATCCAAGTAACAGGATATTCTGGGTGGAGAAGGTTCTGATCTCCTCAAAAATAAATACACCTTGACTGGAGCTGTGACTCAAGTGGTAGAGCACTGGCTTTGACCAGCCCTGGGGAACAGCACCCAGGCCTTCAAGGTCAATCTCTAGTGCAAGCACAAAAAGCAATAGAAATTTAAAGCACCAAAAACCAGTCAGATACCAGTGCTTTATAACACTAACCCTAGCTACTGAGGAGACTGACATCTAAGATGGTTCAGATCCTGCCCAGACAGAACTCCATGAGGCTTTATTTTTTCCCCCATCCTGGGGATGGAAGTCAGGGCCTTGGAGCTGTCCCTGAGTTGCTTTTGCTCAAGGTTTCCATTGTGCCCCTTGAGCCACAGCACCACTTTGGGTTTTCTGTGGATGTGGTACTGAGGAATGGAACCCTGGGCTTCATGGGTGATATACAAGTACTCTACCACTAAGTCACATTTCCAATCCTTGAGATTCTTCTCTTCAGGGGCTGGGAAGGTGCTCAGTGGTAGAGCACTTGCCTTGCATGCATGAGGCCCTGGGTTGGATTCCTCAGCACCACATAAAGAAAAAAAAAAGCCAGAAGTTGCACTGTGGCTCAAGCGGTAGAGTGCTAGCCTTGAGGTGAAGAGCTGAGGGACAGAGCCCAGACCTGGAGTTTAGATGCACGACTGCACCACCCTCCCAACCACCCCAACAAAGAGAGAGTCTTCTCTTCCGTTAAGCAGTAAAATTTCAGAATTGGATATGTGGTTCTGGTGGAAGACTGCCAGCCTTGATTAGGAAACCTAAGAGTAAACAAAAGGCATTGAGTTCAAGCCCCATACTCAGGGGGCTGCTCTCTTTCTCTCTTTTTTTTGTCTGTTTTTCTTCTGTATAGTATTTCATTTCAGAGGGTGGGTGGGGGAGTGGCAATAGGAGAAGTTCTGGGTGTTTCGGAGATTCTGTTTCTCTGTGTTGGTCCTGTGTTCTAACCCAGGTCCTCCTATGTACTGAGGACCCCCACCCCACAGCTCCACCTCGCTGCCAGAGCAGTTCCTGAAAGGTGAAGTTTTGTCCTGATCTGTGTACCCCACCCCCCTGCTCCTCTGGCAGTGAGGAACATCTCCTGGGTGGAAGAGCAGCCCTGGGAGTCTCTCAGAGCCAGCCTTGGGTGAGGACTCCATCTCAGAGGTGCTACTTTCTACACACCACACCAGCCTCTGCCTGTCTTTACTGTTGCTCAATAACGGTGGTGACACTGCCTACTATGGTGCCTATTGCCTGCAGTCCTCATCTGAGGCTGGGATATCTAAGAAGGAAAAGAGGACAGAGATTGGGCAGCTGACATTCCTGTGGCTTTTCTTTTAGCAATTTTGAGAGATCGGCAGACCTTCAGACAACAAGCTAGAGTGTGTCATGTGTCCTTGGCTAACTCCTCTCCTCCTTGCTACACAGAAGGCTGAGATCTGAGGGTCAGGGTGCCAAGACAGCCCAGGCAGGAGAGTCTTTGATACTTTGATCTTCAATTAAACATGAAAATGACAGAAAGGCAGCTATGACTCAAGTGGTGGAGCACTAATAATAGTCCCATAGGAAAGTGCCAGGACCTGAGCTCAAGGCACAGGATTGGGACACACACACACACAGATAGACACACACACACACATACACACAAACACAGAGAGAGAGAAAGAGAGAGAGAGAAAGTGATTCCGCTGACCTTTAGGCTCCTCATAATCCCTGACAATTGGGCCATGAGCTCAGAGTAGTGACTGGAACTGGATGGGACCATGGTGAGCTTGGGGCTGTCTATGTGGGGAGCATCCTGCTGCCCTGTGTCCCAGCGCTGTGCTTGGGGGGCATGGGGGCTATGTGGAAAGGGCGTGAACGGACGTCTCCCCATGGCTGGAGTCGGGATGTGGCCTTTGAGATGAGTTCTCTCTGAGAAGGGACTTCTCAGCTTCAGCCGCTAAAGCTGCCTCTTCCTGTGTGCTCCCAGGCCCTCTCCCTGCAGCCCCAGCACACTGAGCACCATGTCCCTGCCCACACTGCGGCAGCTGGCCATGCAGAGCCTGCTAGAGGACCAGGCCTTGGCCATCTCTGCTCTGGACGTCCTTCCCTTGGATCTCTTCTCCACGCTGTTCAGAGAGGTGGTTGCCAAGAGACGCATGGAGGTGCTGAAGGCCATGGTGCAGGCCTGGCCCTTTGCCTGCCTCCCCCTGGGGGCCCTGGTGGGCTCAGCTGACCTGGAGATCTTACAAGTCACCCTGGAGGGCCTTGAGGTGCTGCTGGAGCAGGGAGCGGGGCCCAGGTAAGGGGGACCCAGGTTGGGGGCCAGGGAGGACCCCGGAGTCCAGGGATGAGACAAACTAGAATCAGGGAGAGTGGAGTGGTCTCACAAGAGACCTGGGGCCAGGGATCCCGGGGATTCCTGTGGAGCTCCTTGTAGAACAGCGTTCCTGGATGTGGAGGGTTGGTGGGGATGGCTGCAGTCATGGCTGCCAGATCCCCAACTCCTTCAGGCCATGGGTGATGGAGTTGGGAAAGGTTGGGGAAAGTTCCATGATGTCACTGGTGCACTCCTCTAATCCTACCTACCTAGGTGCCTGAAATGTTGAAAAGTGAGCCTGGGCAAGAAAATGTCTGAGGTTCTTATCTCTAATCAAAATGAAACCAAAGCTGTGAGCCAGTGGCTCACTCCTGTAATCCTAGATAATCAGAATGCTGAGATCTGAGAATCAGGTTTCAAAGCCAGCCTGGACAGGAAAGCTTAAGACTCTTACCAATTAGCCCTGTGGCTCATGTGATAGAGCACTAGCCTTGAGATGCACTCAGGTCCAGTGCTCAGACCCTACCACCAACAACAAAAAAAGGAAAAGGGAAAGCCTTAAGTGGAGGTGTGATTCAAATGGTAGAACAATTAGCCTGGAGTGGAAAAACCTAACAGACAGCATCCATGCCCTGCCACCAGGCCCCATTACTAGTGCACAATAAAAAGAAAAAAGACAGAAAGATATAATCTAGGAAAAAGCTGGAGGAAATATGGTATGCTAGATTGATTGGCTTGGTCTAATAATGATGAAGCAGAAAGTGGCTGTTCTGCCATGTCTGTTCTGAGACTGTCCTGTGTCTCCCCTGTAGATGCAAACTGCAAGTGTTAGATCTGCAGAATAGGTCCCTGAACATCTGGACCTCAGGGTACATAGCAATGTCTCAAGCCTGCTCAGCAGCAGCCCTGACCGACAAGCCAGCAGCCAATCACTGTACAGACCTGAGGGAGGAGCCCCCTTTCAGGATATTCATGGATGTCACCATTAGTGATGGCCCCTGGGATTATGTGTTGGTCCACTTGCTCCAGTGGGTGGACACAAGAAGAGACCAGGTTCAGCTGTGCTCTAAGAAGCTGCAGGTTCTGTTTGCCTCCACCTGTCAAATACAAAGCACTCTTGGAGTGCTTCATCTGGACTCCATCCAGGAGCTGGTTGTGGATGATTTATGGCATCACAAAACACTGGAAAGTATGGTTCCTTATCTGGGCCAGATGAAGAACCTTTGCAAGCTTTCTCTTGCTACGATGAAAATGGAATGTTCTTGCACCTCGGAGAATTTACGCAAATACTTGTCTGAGCTGCTGCAGCAGGGAAATCCCCAAATCAATGAACTTAAAGGCTTATTCCGTTATGAAAACCTCGACGAGGTCTTCAGGTGAGGATCCTTAGTTAACACTTGCAGGGAGGGGATCTTCTGTGAGACTTTTACCTATTGTCATCTTGCTTTCCTCCACCAAACTGGAAGTGAAGCAGTGGTTCAAACTGGTAGAAAGATAGACTTGAGCAAAAAAGCTCAGTGAGCACACAGGGCTGAGCTGAACTTGGGGTGGGTAGATATGAAAGGGGCTCAACTGTGTGGGGTGACTGCGGGGCTGAGGGGACTGAGGAGACACAGGAAGAGGCTCCTCCTCCTGAGGGTGCTGCTAAGTTCTTCCCTGGTCTTCAATGAAGTCAGAAAGCAGGGTGCATGCTGGGAGTGTGCTCAGGGCAGGAAGCCCGCTGTGGAGTCCTATGTAGCAGTGAGTGGCTGTGAGTTCCTCTATAGGAAGCAAGTCTGAGCTCACAGGATAGAAACTGGAAGCAAAGGGAAGAGGAAAGGATGCTGTGCTGCGATGCTCAGATGTATGGGTGGTTGGGTCCTGCGGGCAGGAAACCCAGTGGTGTGTCCAGACAGTGAGGAGAGGGGGCTGGAGAGGGGGCTGGAGGGGGTGCAGCCTGGGTCAGGCTCAGGTGGCACTGACAGGCATCAGGCTGGGATGGTGGAGTGACAGGGGTCTCAGCCAGCAGCATC